CTTGCCAGATTCCTTTATGTTAGATTTTTTTTCTTGTGTGGCACAGTCAGCTGGCTATACCTGGCCCGTAGAGGACTTCTGTTGCAAAGGTGACTCTTCCACTTCTACAAAATCAGTTGCACCATTAACCATTAGCTCCTGGGGAATTTATACATGAGTGTAGACAGCAGTAGCATATGTGCTAATGAGGCTTAATGGACCAGAATGAGCTCAAATGCAGTGCAAGTATCTAACAACAAGAAAGCAAAAGCTGTGCACAATATTTGTAAACCCAAGCCAAATAACACTTTTCTAGTTATGGACTTTATTATATATCTTTGTAGCTCTTACAAACGGTAACAGAGTAGAACTGCAGCAAGTTAGAAACTGTAAACATTGATAATAAACCGATGTTGTAGAAGTACAAAACACATCACGTAACACCTAAAGAATATGTCAATGTCATCATTTTATAGATCATTAAGTAACCAGTGAAACATGCAAGTTAGTTAATGCCAAATAATTAGGTAAGCAAGACTTAATGGCGCTTTAAGTTGGTCACTTCAGTCCATACAAGTAACTGATAGGACAAAGAGGACTGATTTTCACAAACATTCAGTGTTTTCCATGTATTTCAAAAATTCTGTACAAGTAAACCTCCTTCTTGTTTTCACATGGCCCCTGCTAGACCTCCTACTTGTTAATACAGTACCAAAAGCACTACATTTACACAAGTAGATACACTGCTACCACTACAACATAAGCAAAGATTATACCAAAAGTTTTGTCATTTTCTCCTAATAAATACATGCTTTTTATCAGTGATACCGAGTTTTCACAGCTTTCCAATGCAGTGTAAAAAAGCACAGGAACTGTGTGATTATCAGTCACACATGATCTATTTTACACAAAACAGCTCTTGATACCTTTTATGGGCATCACAGACTATGCCTGCCATGGAATATGGCAGATAGGGTGTTTTTATCCTCATTCCCATTTTTGTCTTAGCTAAATAATGCAGCAACCAGATAGGGACCCTTTTATCCTTAACAGTAAACACATTCTGCTAATAAAACCCAACATTTTTACTTCTTACTTAGATATTTAGATCTTGAGGACATCATATACTTTGTTTAAAATCTGTCAGTGCCTACTGAGTCTCTTATTAAGCTAATATTATGCAATGACTAACGCACAGCACCAGAAAACTATATAAAAACTATATACATAGCAACATACTTTAATCTAGTTTTGCTTCTGCCCTATTCTGGACAATATGCTCATAAGCAAAATCTGCAGCAGTTTACAATTCTTTTCTTTTATTCTTTTCTTTTTTTTTTTTGGCCTGCAGTAAATAAAGACTTGTAAAAAGTAGTCGTATTTACTGTGCTATTACTATTCGCTAATACGGATCAGATCAAGCAATAGAGATCTACGTTTCCAGAGGAAACTTATGCCACCCAGAGCAAAAGCAAGCCAAGCATAGCTTAGCAAACTTAACACTTAGCTGCTCACCTATACCAAAGAAATAGGGATCGGCTGTTAAGAGTAGCATCTATACAGCCAAACTGGCCTCCCTCCTTCTACAGTCTCTGGATGAGTGTCAGGAAGTTGTATCCAGAGTCAGCTACTATTTTGAGAAACAGCCTTCCACAGCAGCAAGAGCCACTACCCCAGTCCCAGCCCAATCCTGGCCACATCAGAAGCACATCTGCCCAGGGCCCACTTCCTTATGGAAGGCCGCTCCCCTCCTGAGCCGCCACCCAAAGGACACAAGGGCTGCTGCAGGTAGATGCAAGCATCCTCCTACGGCAATGGAGGTCAGTGCAAGTGCAGGTATAGTGCTTTTTTATCACAGGGGACTGGGAGAGGAACAGGCCAGCCTGAAAGCAGGAGAAGGAAACATTTCCTCAGTCTTTGAAGATCCTCTGAGCACTGCCAGCTCACCTTCATTACCAAGAATCCCCCTTCACCAGCAATCTCCAGCAATCCACCATGACCCGCTAGCCTGTTCTCACATCACTTCTGAGCTTCACTGATACCCTTGTGTTCTTCCTGCAGACCCTCAGAACTCCTACAAGTCTTTTCGTAGTCCTCCATGCCAGCCTCCCAAAGCTTCATCTGATCCCCAGTCCCACATTTGTCTTTCTCTGACTCCCATGAGACCTAACTTGACCAAAACCTCCCAAAACATCTAAAGAAATACTGCATGTTTCTACAAAGAACTGGATGCACAAGCTACATAAATACACATATATCTATTTTTTTCATTCTTTTTTTTTTCTTTAAGTCAGCCATTATGGTTGGATTTGAAAAAAAAAAGCAAACAGTACAAAAAATATATGGAAAAAAATCCATAAAAAATTTGCCAAGACAAAACCTGCTACATTGTTGGCCTGCTTTTACACTCTTTTCCAAGCACCCACTATTGGCCACTCTCAGAGCCAGAAAACTGTCTTAGAAACACAATTAGTCTGACATGTTTTTACAGTCATGATCAAAACAAGCAGTTGTTTATGAAAAATCTTTAAAGTCACTTATCTTTCATAAACAATATTTTCTTTCTGTTCTTCTTTTGCTTGACATTGTAAGAATTACTAATCCTGTACATTTGACTTCCAAAGTAGTTGTCATGGAAATTAAGGTGATCTTGCAAACTGTAAACATGATTTCCCTCTAAGAGCTTATAGGGAGAGAAACAAGAGGTCTTGTTTGAAAGCGAAACATTCAGTCACATTTCAGTCAATGGTAGACAGCAAGAGTCATGTGCCATCATATCTCTCCTGTAGAATTTATCTAAATTTACCTGGCTGACTATATCCTCCCTCCTTACCTCCCTCCCTCCTTCCCTGAGTATTTTATAGTAATCTTAAAAACAGTTTGAATTTGCATCAGTAATTATTCAAAGACACTCATTTTGCTTATTTCGAAAGTGTTGTGGTAAATGAAAATGGACCTAAACTCACCTGCCACATATTCTAAAACTGCAGTGAGAAACGAGCAATTTCAGTATTAATCAAGTTAGAAGTAGGCAAGTGACAAAAATTAAAAAATTATTTACAATTCCAATGCAGACAATTCCTAGCACAAACCTTCTTTTAAAACAATGCTGCCCTCAGTAATGTACTGGATTAAATACAGTGAAGTACTTAGAGCAGTTTTCACTCACTTCTTCCTACGTGGCACCTCTTCTTCAATGTTTGCATATAGCTGGATTTTACGAAGCTACAACATGACTACTTTGCTGTCTAGTCTCAATCACTGCACTTAAAATACTAACTTTAAAAAAAAAAAAAAAAAAAAAAGAACTACTCTTCTGCTTGTTCTCTAGAATTTGCAAGGAGAAAAATTTGCCCTGAGCTCATGTTCCCCTTGCCAAGAGAAAGTTAGGGGCTGGTCAGTATCACCTCTTCAGAGGCAGGTTCTCTTCTCTGTATTCCTGGTAACACCAAACAGAATAGGTGTGGCTGCACAGCTGCTCTGTGCTGGGGATTGACAGTATTTCCACACTGAACCCTGCATAAATTTGATGCTAACCAACATTTCAGAGGAACAAGACAGGGAGCAAAACCCCATAAAGTCTTACGTATACATTTAAACCTTGATCAGAAACACATATTGAAGATTTTAAATATCAACAATTTTTAACAGGAGCCTTGAAAACCCAAGAGTGCCCAACATCAAAGAAAGAAGTGTCCAGTCTAAGGTATGGGGCAGTGTGTAATATAAAAACGAGAAATTCATGTAAGCTATTTATTCATGCATTGTAGATGCATATGTTATACTTGTAATCCAATACTGAAAGAATTCTATGAAACTGAGTACCTAAATTAATCCTCGAAGAAGTGATATGTACAGTTCTGTAAGTGCTTACTTGAAGCAAATGGCTTTGAGCTAACTTTGTCTTTTGTTTAGGACCAAATCTGTTACCATGACAGGGTCCTCAGAAAGGGCCACAGTGAAGTTAATTGTACATGGATTTCAACACCATCTTTCCCTGTTTAATTATCTGTGACAACATACTTGTCTTTTTAAGAAGCTTATAGAAGAATAAGTGAGTCAGGTAAAGGGATTATGAAGTTTTACCCTTGTATCTTCAGAGAGTTGTGACAGAAGAAGCCAGGTAAGCTGAAAGATGCATGCTAATTGAGACACAGCAGAAGAGGTAATTAAGTTTTCACCATGAGGGGATGAACTAACAACTGAATAGTAAAATTCTGTCATCCTGTGATTACCCTTTGCCTAATCATTGCTGGGGGAAACAAAATAAAAATCCTTTAAGTGTTGGAAAGGAAGCTCATGATTTCCAAACTGACCAAGAGATAGCAGGACTCACAAAGACGTTTTTTCTCTGCATTTCTCACACCCTGCCAGGTAAAGGGAGTGGAAGATCAGCAGAAAGTTCTTTGGCAAAGAAACAGGGAAGATGAGGAGAATTTCACAAGCAATGTCAGCCTTGGTTATAATGGTGCATTTAGGCTGTCATCCTCCTGAAGAGGAAAACACTGAAGTAAATAAATAACAACTAAAACCAAATTAAAGCAAACAAATATATTTGAAAAATATATTCTGAAATATGATTGTGTGTGCTATCCTTCCATACCCATTTTCACCACAGAAAAGTTTTCATCCTTTAATGAATAGGATAAAATAAAACCCTTCTTTCACGGTTAAACCTCGTCTAATAACATAATTTATTCTCAGTGATCTGATTAATAGACTATACGCTACTTCTCAAACAGCATTAGACATACTAGATTGCTGTTGGATTATCCCACATCCAGACTAGGCTGAGAGCATAGAAGGGTCTGTGCTGTAACTCCTCTCTTGCAACCCTTGCTGTCAGCTCCCCACCACTTCTCAACCTGGTGGTTAGCTGCTTAACAAATTCAAGGCCCACCTCTGACAAAACACAGCTGCATCACCTTGACTCAGACTGCTTTACACTTTTGAGCTGTATATATATGCCACACACAGGGCTTTTCTGCGCCAGCTAAAGATGCCCAAATGCACCAATCCGAATGGGGAGCCGTAGCGATGTGAACGCCTGGCTGAAGGTACATAACGCCTGCTACATCTTTTTGAAAAAATGTTCTCCTAATGAGAGGGAGGAGGGGAGCGAGAGAAGCTCACACCATATGATAACCAGTCGATGTCATATTAATGTTCAGTGCACTTACCGCACTTACAAGGAGAAGCGTTATCAAACACAGGTATTCCTCCCACCAAGGCAAGTTAAGAGCTGTGCCAGGCAGGCACAGGTCACTTCAATGGCACCAGGTAAGCTGGGTGTAAGTAGCAGCCTTGGCTATAGACTACCTTCAGTGGTGTTTGTTTAAACACATTTTTTTCCTTCTGAAGTTCTGATACAATACAGATGTCTATCCAACATCATTTCTTGAAAAACCTGTGAATCATTAGTGAAAGAAGAAAGATTGCCCAGATACTGACTTTTTTTATTAATAACCTGGCTTCAACTCTATATGGAACAGGATTGCCATCTCTACCTCATGTCTGTAGCCTTCCTTACAAGGAAACAGAAGTGACTCTCTGTTGAGCAGTTTAGAAATGTGAATGTCCTGAGAAGAAATACCTATTCAAAAGCCAGAATCAAGAGAACAGATGTTAGCCTGAAAAAAAATCAGCAGAAGAGTCAGCAATTTTTAAATCTTAGAGGAAAGTTAGTGGATCCTCTATGACAGGAGGACTTCAGGAAATGTGATTCTCTATCAGCAGCCTGTTTCACAGAATTCCTAACATCTTCAGTTACTTTTTTCTTACGATACACATCAGGAGGAGTCATAAGGAGCCATGGTGCCTAATATAAGACTTAGGAAGATCAAATCCATTATGCTGGTAGGTAAAGACCAACTGTAAATTGTTAATTAAGATCAATCAACATTTTTTTTCAAATGGTTTCCTCGTGGGATTATTAACATTTGTGTCAAACCCTTCTTTGCCAGAATTAACAGTTTATACGATCCAACAGGCAGCACCTAAAATATTCAGAAATATGGTTAAGTAAAATGATAACTGAAGTGCTGGTTCAGCAAAACAAAAATGAATTCATTTTTTCACTGTGCTGCCCTACACCTACCATGTAGGTCTTTTTCAATTACCATGTAAGTATGAAGTGAATTTTAATTGCCCACACTACATTTTCTGCTCCGTGACTTCTTCCCAAATAACTTTCAAAGCTATATTACCTGTTCTGCTATGTTTCCGTCACCATCAGAGAATCATAAAATTATTTAGGGTGGAAAAGACCTTTAAGGTCATCAAGTCCGACTGTGAACCTAACATTACCGAGTCCACCACTAAACCATGTCCCAAAGCACCACATCTGCACATCTTTTAAATACTTCCAGGGATGGTGACTCAACCACTTCCCTGGGCAACCTGTTCCAATGCTTGACAACGCTTTCAGTAAAGAAATTCTTCCTAATGTCTGATCTAAACCTCCCCTGGCACTACTTGAGGCTATTTCCTCCTGTCCTATCGCTTGTTACTTGGGAGAAGAGATCGACACCCACCTTGCTATAGCCTCCTTTCAGGTTGCTGTAGCGAGCGATAAGGTCTCCCCTCAGCCTCCTTTTCTCCAAGCTAAACAACCCCAGTTCCCCAAGCCGCTCCTCATAAGACCTGTTCTCCAGGCCCTTCACCAGCTTCGTTGCCCTTCTTTGGACACTCTCCAGTGCTTCAATGACTTTCTTGCAGTGAGGGGCTCAAAACCAGTGGCCTCACCGATGTCGAGTATGGGGGACTATCACCTCCCTACTCCTGCTGGCCACGCTGTTGCTAAGACAAACCAGGATGCCATTGACTTTTTTGCCCACCTGGGCACACCACTGGCTCATGTTCACCCGGCTGTCAACCAGCACCCCAGGTCCTTTTCTCCTGGGCAGCTTTCCAGCCACTAATCCCCAGGCCTGTAGCGTTGCATGGGGTTGTTGTTATCCAGGTGCAGGACCCAGCACTTGGCCTTGATGAACCTCATACAATTGGCCTCGGCCCATCAATCCAGCCTGTCCAGATCCCTCTGCAGACCCTTCCTACCCTTGAGCAGATCAACACTCCCGCCCAACTTGGTGTCATTTGCAAACTTATTGAGGAAACACTCAGTCCCGTTATCCAGGTCGTTGATAAAGATGTCTAACGGAACTGGCCCCAATACTGAGCCCTGGGGAACACCACTTGTGATCAGCCGCCAACTGGATTGAACTCCATTCACTACAACTCTTTGGGCCTGGCCATCCAGCCAGGTTTTTACCCAGCAAAGTGTATACCCATCCAAGCCACAAGCAGCCAGTTTCTCCAGAAGAATGCTGTGGGAAACAGTGTCAATGGCTTTACTAAAGTTTGGGTAGACAACATCTACAGCCTTTCCCTCATCTAACTGGGTCGCCTTGCAATAAAAGGAGATCAGGCTAGTCAAGCAGGACCTGCCTTTCATAAACCCATGCTGACTGGGCCTGATCACCTGGTTGTCCTGTACATGCCACATGACAACACTCAAGATGATCTGCTCCATAACCTTCCCCGGCACCGAGGGCAGACCGACAGGCGTCTAATTTCTCAGATCCCCCTTCCTGCCCTTCTTGTAGATGGGCATCACATTACCTAACCTCCAACCAACTGGGACCTCCCCATTTAGCCAGGACTGCTGGTAAGTGATGGAAAGTAACTTGGTGAGCACATCCGCCAGCTCCCTCGGTACCCTGGAGTAGATTCCATCTGGCCCCACAGACTTTGTGTGTCTAAGTGGTGTAGCAGGTCACTAAACATTTCCACTTGGATTATGGGGGCTTCATTCTGCACCTCTTCTCTGTCTTCCAGCTCAGGGGGATGGATACCCTAACAACAACTGGTCTTGATATTAGACTGAGGCAAAGAAGGGATTAAGTACTTGTCACGGTTTGAGGCTGGGCCGGTCACTAACAAATGACAGACGCTCTCTATTAACCCCTCTCCCCTCCCAAAAGGGAAAAGGAGAGAGAACAAGGGAGAGAGAGACTTTACCGTTTGGAAAATAAAACTAAAAACAGCTTTAATGAAATAATAACAATTTAAAAAAGATAATAATAAGAATAAGGAAATAATGAAATATATACAATATGTACAAATAAACACAAAATCAATACCGAACCAAACTCCCCCCACCCTGATGATGATACGTCACCATCACGCTGCAGGGCTGCCACTGGGGCAGTCCCAGGCTGGACTCAGCAGCAGACAGGGACGGGATGCAGGAGCTGGACTCAGGCACTGGATTCAGGGATGCAGGGATTGGGATCGACGTCAGAAGAACAGACAGAGTCCTCCTCAGACATCGGCCATCGAAGAATTGACCCTCGTGATCTCTCAGCTTTATACTGAATATGACGTATAGGGGATGGAATATTCTGTTGGTCAGGTTTGGGTCACCTGTCCAGTTTGCTCCTCCCTGCAGATGTGACCTTTTTCATCCTTGTGACCCTTTTCACTCCCGGCACCCCAACACGGAGTAAAGGTTTAGCAGTGACCTTGGTCGCTATAAGAACAAGTACAAGCACGGGCCTCTCTGCACACCATCCCTTGGTACAAACTATAAACATCAGGCCTTAGCACTGCCAGGAGCAGTCACTGTCTGGAAAAACATGCTTCTGTTTCAGAAAGTGCCATTAGTTAGAGGAGACTTAACTGAAAAGTATCATAGATTTCCTGCTGCACAACGGCTTCCAGCTCCTCCTGTTTGTTAATTGTGTTGTGTGCATTAGGGTAAATGCACTTCAGTTGGGCTACTGATTCCATGACATTTTGGGGGAAAGAAGCCCTAGTTTCTATGTGACCATCTTCAGCTGCTTCCGTGGTTTCTGACACATCAATAACTCTCGTGTCTTTGCTGCCATGTGGATCTCCATCCCCCACCTCCACTGAGATGGCAGACCAAAGGACCTCGCTAGCACACCACCCCTCAAATACTGGCATGCTGCTACCATGTTTACCTCTAGTGACCCTGGTTTTATCCCTTTCCCACTTCAAATCTAGACTAAAGCTCTGTCAATAAGTCCTGTGCAAAGATCCTTTTCCTCCTTTGAGACAGGTGTACCCTGCCTGTTGCCAGCAGGCCTAGTGTCATGTAAACTGGCTCAGGATCAAAAAACCCAAAATTCTGCTGGTGACACCAGGCTCAGAGCCAGGTATTGATCTTCTGGCTCTTCCTGTTTCTTCCCCCATCATTCTCTGCAACTGGAAGGATAGAGGAGACCACTACCAATTGTGCTCCTGATCCCTTAACCACTCATCCTAAGGACCTTGATTGCCCTTGGACTTCTTGTTGCAACTTCATCACTGCCTACCTGAAAAACAAATAATGCATAATAATCTGAGGGCCATACCAGGTTAGGAAGCATTGTCTTCACACCTTTAACCCCAGCCCCAGACAGGCAGCAGGCTTCCCAAAGAAGCAGGTCCAGCCTGCATGTTGGGCCTTCTGTTCCCTTCAGAAGGTAGTCTCCTACAACAATGATCCATCTTTTTTTCTTTATGGAAGCAGTCTTGAGACAGGACTTAGGCCAACTTAACACCAGTCACACATCCAAGCTAGATGAGCCATCATCCTCCTCATTGTTCGGTTCCACTTGCAGAGCATCATACCTATTATGCAAGGGCACCTGGGAAAGTGGCTAAGGCAAGCACCTCAACAGCAATGTGATTTATTCAAAGCCCTCACGTAGCTCAAAATTTCATTCTCAGTCCTTATATGTTAGAGGAACTGCCAAAACCAAGATTAATACTAGCTTAGTTTTGTTCTTCTAAAATCTAACAATATTTATACCAGCTGAATGTTTCTGAATGCTTCTGCTTGGTAGTACTGCAGCAGATTCATTCAGCCAGTAACATTCCTGTGTCTACACTTGTTGCTATCAGCTCCAACCTTAGCCACTGGCACAACGGTCCAGAGGCTCTCAGTCTTCTCACAATTTGTTTCATCTTCGACCAGAACAACTAATCCCACTGTATGTGAAAAGCAGGAGTATTGTTGAAGGATACAAAGATAGTCCTTTGTGTCCTGCTTGGCTTTGTACTTTGCCAAAGGAAGTTAATGCATGACTCTTATGCTAGGGCCAGAGAAACACGGAGACATCTGTAATCAAAGTTTTGGGTAGTTAAGGTTCAAAGATAAGCAGCTCTCATGAGTGTAAACACAAGGCTGCATTCAAATTATAGCTTCTTCTCTGAAATTTTCAGTCGATCAGTCAGTGACAAGGAAAATGTCAGAGCATGGATATTGAATCAAA